ACTTTGAGTGGGCGATTGCGTCAGAGAATGCCGCCGAGGCCCGGGCGGTAGCGCTGACAGAGGAGGACTACGCTCGCATCGCGGCTGTCGAACAGGTCGGAGCGGCGAGCGAGTCCGGCCCAGCCACGGACGATGGGGAGAGAGGCAGAATACCAACCACAGAGGAGGAGAAGAGACGGGCGTCCTTTGAGTGTGCGATGTCCGCGGAGAACGCGCACGAGGCGCGGGCTGCAGCGCTGACGGATGAGGACTACGCTCGCGTCACGCGCCTCGAGAAGGCGGAGCTGGAGAGAGAGATGAACCTCGACATGGGAGCGGAGGTCTTGGAGGGGAAGACGGTCAACGAGATCAAAGCGCTCGGAAAGTCCCGCACCGTCTTCGGGAAGGGGCGCTTCTCGAGGTCGAGGAGCAACTCCCCTCGCAGCTATTCCTCCCCAGGGTCAGCGCGCAGCGAGGCGTCGACTGACCCGTCGGAGAAGGGGCGTCGGCAACGACCGTGGCAGCGGCGGCGGCAAGACGAGTCGCAGAAGGATGAGGAGCCAGGGCAGTCTGCTCACCTGCTCGACCGCGACGGCGACGGCGTCGTCACAGGCTCTGAGAATGCCCTAGCCGACTGACGGAGAACGCCGCAGGCGGCACTTCGAGCGGGGCATCGCCACGCAGAGCGGCAGCCAAGGCAGCGGCGGCAGCCCGATTGCGCGCATTTTGGCGGCGAGGACGCCGCACGAGGCGCGTCCTCGAGAGATTGCCGAGAGACAGCCAAGAGAGACAGCCGAGAGAGGCCGCCGAGAGAGGCCGAGGAGAGACTGCCGAGAGGCGGCAGAGATGTGTAGGGCGCTTCGGACTCCCTCCCTCCCCCTCCCCCCTCCCTCGGCTGGTGGGCCCTCTCGTCTCTGCCGCCGGAAAGACGGCGCCCTCGCTGACAAAGAGAGGGCACCCCACCACCGCCTCCGTAGCCCCAGACCCCCTCCCCTGCGGGCGAGGGCCAGGCCCCCGCCCCCTGGGGCCCCCGCCCCTGCACCCCGCCCCCAGGTGAGGGAGAGAGCCGCCCCCTGGAAGCTCAAGCCCCCCCTCCCTCCCCCCCCCCCCTCTCCCCCCTTGGGTCCCTCGCAGGTGCTCGGGCTCCCGCGCTCCGCGAGCGCCGCCGAGGCGAAGCGCGCCTTTACACGCCTCGCGCTGCTCATCCACCCGGACAAGTGCTCGCAGGTGCGGCACCCTCCTCCCCGCGCGATTAGAGAGCTACCGATACCGATGGCACACACACACACACACACACACACACACGCACACACACACACACACACACACACACACACACACACACAGAGAGAGAGAGAGAGAGAGAGAGAGAGAGAGAGAGAGAGAGAGAGGTAATCTCGGCTCACCCCTCTACCTCCCCCCCTCTACCTTCCCCCCTCTCGCTCTCGCAGCCCGGCGCGCGTGACGCCTTCATCAGTGCATTGGGTGCCTTTCGGGCGCTCTCCGATAGCGGCGCGCGGCGGCGGCACTGACACGCTTGAAGAACAGTCGCGTGTCCTCGCCGTGCACGCGCCGTGTAGGCACGTCGCATGCTCTATGTCCTGCATTGTCCTCGGGTCTAGACTCTACATGGTCTATGTCCGCAGTCCTCACATTTCTCACTTGCTCACACACGCACTGGCGAAGGCGATTGTGCTGTGTGTCTCCCGCGAAAGCCGTATCTTACTGCGGCGCTCTCACTCTCTCTCGCGCCGGGCGCAGCGGCCACATAATTTTTGAGCATAATTTTTGAGTTCCGGATTGGATTTGGGGGAAAAAATTGCTTTAACCCAAAATACTCGGCACAGTGCTATCCCCTACCCCCCCTCGCCTCCCCCCCCCTGTCCTCTCCGGACTAGACATGTGCACTACATTGCCTGGGGGTGGGGGGTGGTGGGGCCTATCGGGGCATGGTGGCTGGTTGTACTGTGTATGAGTTGTGGGCGTGGGTCGCCGGCTTTCGCCAGCCTTTGCAGGCATCCTAAGTTCGGCGGCTCAGCCTCCTCTGTGCCAGGGATCGCGCGGGGCGCAGCACGCCCTGTGTCGTCTGCGCGAGATCCTAGTCCCTGGTTCACCGAGGCGCCCCCTACAGGGAGTCAGCTCAGCCGCGTTCCTTGTAGTGTGTGGTGCCTTTAAGTCTTTTAGGTACTCGATGTGCTAGCTTGTGATGCCTTGACAAACTTGATCTCTCGTGTGTGAGCCGTCGCCTCTTCTGTGGTGAGGTGGTCGAGTCCCACTCTCCTTAGTTCGTCATTCACTCGCCTGCTCAGTCGTAGTCTGCCGTAGTAGTCAATCGTCCCCATGGGTTGGTTCCACTTTGTTGCTGATTTCTTTCATGGTCGAGTCGCTGACTCGGTCGCTCTTGCGTCGTATTCGTCGGAGCCTAGTTTTGGCCTCTCCCGAGTAAGCTTGCATGTTTCTCACTAATAGGTTCAGGACCGCCTTCCAGGTTTGTTCGGGTTTGATTTCTTCCTCCTCATAGAAGGAGACTATTATTTGATTCCACATGTGTAGATGAAGTGCGTTGTGGACCTCCGGCGTGTCCGCCGAGGTTCCGATGATGGTGAGTAATCTCGGCGGTTGTATGCTTAGTGACTCTCCTTGCGCAAAGACGGCCCGGACGACCGGGCATATGTCGAGGTGTCGCAACGTTTCGGAGGTTTTGTTACAAAGCCTGCACCTCGTGTGTGTTGTGGTGTCTAGTCCGTACTCCTTGAGCTGCCTCCGGAGGACCAGCTTCCTGTGGAGGATATGTCTGCAGTAGTTGTCGGTGATTGTGGGCGGAACTAGAGTGCTGTGTATTGCTCTTGCAGCGTGAATCCACTCTTGGGGGTGGATTATTTTGTTGCTTGTCTCAACTTTGTGGCGGAATCTTGAAGAGCTGTCGTGCGGTCTGTCGGGTCGCTGTACTCGTGCCCTTGAATCTCTTCCTCCCTCTCTTATCCATCCTGGATTCTGTAGTAAGTCCTTCTCCCAGTTTCTGAGGATCCTGGGTTGGGTCATGCCCTTTCTGCTCAGATACTTTGTGATGTCGCCGACGCTTATCTTATCAAGAGGTTTGTCGATCTCGTCGAATGTGTATGTCTCTGGGTGTGGCCAGGCCACCTCCTAGCTCCTTGCTCTCTTTGTAGCCTTGTCCCCACTGTAGGGCTGGTAGTGGGTTGTGTCTGAGGAATCCGTCCTTAGTTATTTCTTGTTCGGCTAGCCAGTATTCTTCGTACCATTGACCAGCATTCTTTTTTGAGGGTTCGCACCAAGTACTTGTGGTTGTTCGCTACTGTGTCTTCTTCGTCCAGGTAGGTGTATACTCGTGCTGGTTCAAACTTTTCTTTTAGCGATGGGGCTGGGCCCGTCTTTGTTTGTCGAGGCTAATTGCCTTTGTTTGTGACTATTGGGCCGTCTTGCAGGTTCAGTACTTTGACTTTGAGCTTGACATGGATTGGATTTGGGACCCCTTGACTTCTCCATTATGTATTGTAGAACGCACCTGGAGAGTGGTCTCGGCGTATAAAATGAACTCGGGGCACGGGACGCGGCACGGTCGTGTCTGGGACTGGGTCAGGACCCGACTTCCTGGCGACAACCATGCCGTGCGCCTGGACGGCCGCGGAGGACGCTGTGCTCGAGTACTGCCGAGCACGAGTAGCCAAGGGTAAGGGCGACTGGCGCCAGGTCGCGGCGAAGAGGCTGCGATCGAAGAGCCTACGTGCTATTGCACTGCGGGCGCGTGCGCTAACGAAGAACCACACCAACTCGACTCGCGCAGATGCGGACGGCGCGGTCAGCGAGCATGAGTCATCACAAAAGACCAATGCTGCGCCTGTTCAAATGATGAGCTGTGATGTAAGTCCGAGTGATGACGAGTGCTGTGCGATCGAGAGGCGACGTACGGCCACCTGGCTGCTTCCCACGTGGCGACTTCCCGTGGAGCATGAAGCACAGGCGGGTGAGATGAACACAGAGCTCTTGTCGGCACCCGCGCCGTCGACCGGGTTAACCGGATACAAGAAGCACAGCATTCCAAGGAGCTGCAAAAGCCGCGGCTCCAAGGGGCGGCGGCAGGAGGAGGAGAGGCACTGCAGCCTCGCGACGCAGCTCACACGCGAGTACGCAACTGCGTGCATCTTCGGTCGCGAGCGGCGCCGGCCCATGCGCCGCGGCGTGGCTCACCGCGTGGGAGCGGGCGTGTTTCTGTCGTGCGAGGCGAGCTGCCTCGAGGCCGATCCACCGCTCAATCCACCGCTCCCGCCGCCTCCTCCCGCAGCCCCGACCATGTGGGCGTTCGTCAAACCCGTGCTCAAGCCCAGCCGGCTGACGCCGACCGCCAAAGCGCTCGGCGTGGTCTCGCGAGCAGTGCCTGCTCACGAGGCCAAGCAGCTTGGCGCCGTCCCCGGTGAGGCCTCGGCCGCCGAGGAGCAAGGCGTCTGCATCGTTTGCTTTGAAGACGACCCGGGCGTGACGAGGCTGCATGCCGGATGCGGCCATCAGATGTGCATCACGTGCTGGCGCAGCTATGCACTGGCCAGGATGGAGGACCACACCTCGTGGTTGGACGCTTCGACCGCCATGATCCGCTGTGCCGATCCCAACTGCGGGGTGGTGGCACCAGACTCGCTGCTCCGCGAGGTGATGAAGCGGGGCGAGTACGATGCTCTGCTGGCGATGCGCTCCAACGCCCTGATCCGAAGCCAACCCACGCTCTCATATTGCCCGAACGCCGCCTGCGTCTCGCTCGTCTGCACCACGCGCCCCGGTGACGACCAGCCTCGTTGCTTCGAGGCCGCGTGTGGCGCGTGCGGAGAGCGATGGTGCCCGTCGTGCGGTGAGGAACCGCATTGGCCGGCTACCTGCGCCGAGTGCCGCGTCTTCAAGTCGCGCCACGGAGACGGCGATCGGCCGATGCAGATGCCGAGCGAAGGGATCAAGCCGTGCCCCAACTGCCACGCCCCAATCGAGAAGAATGGGGGCTGCCTGCACATGCGCTGCTGGCAGTGCCGCGCTGACTTTTGTTGGGCGTGCGGGCAGACGAACCACGCACGGGGAGGGACATGGCACCCTTCAGGGGCGTGCACTCCCCACGCATGGGAGCAGCAGATCGCGGTGCGCCGTTTCTTCGAGTCGAGCGTCCCGCAATTCGAAAATCCGCTGCCGATGGCCTTGAACTTCATCGGGCTAAAGCATGCCGCTGCGCAGCAGCTCTCGCTGATTCGGCGCGCCGTTGCCGCTGGAGCACACGCGGGCATTCGCAATTGGGAGGTGGTTGGGCCGCTCGCGCCAATCATCCAGCGCGCGTGGGCGGCCAGGAGAATCTCGGACGCGGCAATCGTCCGCGTCACAGAGATGGCTTACGAGAGCGCGAGAGCTCTGGCGAGCGCCTACATCGCCCTCACCGTCGCATCCGAGCGCACGAGCGAGCCGGTAAAGCGCGCTCGCCGAGCGGCACGTCGACTACTCACCTCGCCGGCGACACACACGTTCCGGGAGTGCGTGGATCGGCTAACCGTCGCGTCCACCGAGCTGCAGCTCCTTTTCGGGCAGCAGTCGCCCGACAATGAGCTGTGCCACCAGAGGGCAGGGGCGGCGCTTCATGCAATGAGGCAGCTGCAGCACGCTGCGGTCGAGTGGCGGAGGGCATCGGCTGATGAACGTTAGGAGGATCGCAACAAAATGCGAGCGAACGTTTGGTCGCTCACATATATATTTGCGCGCACCCCAGACCTGGGCGGTGCCCAGGACGGTTTATTGGACATTCCGGGTCCACAACCTGGCAGCAGCCACCCATGTCGCGGACTTGGAAAAATCTCAAAACCCGCAAAGTCCAAATACCAAACGACCGCATTCTAAGTTGCATTGTATGTCGTGTTGACACCTTGGGTCATGAGACATGACCTCCTGGAGCTCTCCTTCCCCAGGTCCTGCTTGAGAACTTGACCTACTTCGCTTTATGCACGGTAAATACGCAGGGCTCCGGAGGCGGAGCAGACACCGCACGGGGGTTGCGGTGTTCGGGATTCGGATTTCGGTCCGGTCCGGTCTACAACTAGAACCCCACTGCTCACTGGCCAGTGCTGTCTGCTAGCTCGGCTCGGCTGAGACCGCGCGAGAGTCCCACTCCCTCACACCAGAGTGCAGAGACCAGTCCCGAGCGCGCGGCCGCGCGCTGCACCCTTTCGTGACTACATATATTGACTCGTAACTCGATGGCGGCCACTTGGGCGACGGGACGCTCGCGAGGTAGACGAGCGCCGCAGCGGCGAGAGAGAGAGAGAGAGCGACTCTCAAGGAGAGCTTGTAAGAGCGTAACACGAAAAGAACAAAGAAGAAGAGGGGGAATGATATAAACAAGGGACTACATGCATGATATAAACAAGGGACTATATGCACATGTCACAAGGGACTAACACGATCCTGCAAAAGGGAGCGTAGAGGGGTGAGTCCTGCAGAGGAGGTGTGAAGACGCGAAGCGTGGGTTATGAAGATATGAACAGACGAGAAGGCCAGTGGCAGTGCGCGCTATGAACAGAGTGAGTGTGCTGGGCGCTGGGAGTGAGAGGATGAGAAAGTGCCCGGGAACAAATATACTCTATAGCCCCGTCCCGCTGCCCTGCGTGCTGCGCAAGTCGGTAGAGGGTGAGTTTGAGGAAATCGAGGGGAGTTGAGGAAATCGATAATCGTCCGTAGTCCTCGGCGCTCCGGCCTCCGCGCGCAGCGCGCGCCCGCCGCCCGCCGGGGGCGCGGGCGCCCCCCCCCCCCCCTCCCCGACCCCCGTGCCCCGAGCCCCGTCCCCCGAGCCCCGCGACGCCCCGGGCGTGCGCATGAACCCGCGTGTGCCGTGTGGAGCGGGAGGGGCTGGGGGGGCTCGGGCGCTCGGCGGGGCTGCTTCTGGGCCCGGCGGCTGGGGGCTGTAGCATGGCTGGGGGCCTGGGGGGGCGCGCCGCGATCCGCCGCCGGGTCGGCGGGGCGTACGGGACCGGCCGTTACGGTGCTGGGGGCATGGGGCGCGGTACCGTGGCGCGCGGCCCCGGCCGCGGGCGCGGGGGCGTGGTCCGCTGCGCCGCGCGCCTGGGGCGGTGTGCCGACTGCCGTCGAAGGTCGGAAGGTCGTGGCCTCGTGCACGTGGAGACGACAGTCGACACAGACGTGATGTGCGTCTCCGTCTCGTCCGTGTCGGTGTATGTGACAACCTATGTGTGCCCCGCGCCAGCGCCCCGCGCGCGCGCGGCGCGGCCGCGCGGGTCTCTATAGACTAGAGTGCGCCCGGGCCCGCGCCGCCCCTCCGGTAAAGGGGCTGCTGCGCCGAGAGGGAGTGCTTGTCTTCGAGGAATGATAATAAATCTTCGTGAATGCTGTGCCCAACACAAGACCGCTCCTAAATGCGACTGACATTCTGCGCACACCAGATCGCACAAACATCTCTCTCTATTGTCTCGCCGCCCACTCAGGGCAGCGCGCATGAAACTTGCGCACGCGCCGGTCACCACCCCGCGTCGCCGCCGAGCACGACGTCGCCGCCGAGGACGGCGTCGGACGACATCTGCTGGTTGATGGAGTTAGGCACGACCCCGGCAGTCATCGGGAACTCGACGGGGGCGGTGTTGACGACGCGGACGACGTTGCCCGAGCCGGGCGTCTCGAGGATGCAGAAGAAGGGCCGGTCGAGGCCGTCCTCCGTGTACAGCTCGATCACCTGCTTGTTGTTGTTAGGGCCCTGCAGCAGCTCGATCCGCGCGTTGAGCGGCCTGCCGTCCGTCTTGAGCAGGACCTGGACGCTCTCCACCGAGGGGTCGAAGGGGTAGGTGCGGAGGGCGCCGCCCTGGATGGTCATGCGCGTGTCGAGGCACTCGGCCGACGGCGCGTCCACGTTCTCCGCCACCACGTTTGCGGCGAGGGGGAACTCGATCTGGCCGATGTTGCGGATGGCGACCGTGTTTGGGCCGCGGGGCGTCTCGACGACGGCGCTGAAGGGGCGGAGCTGGCCGTTCTCGACGTACACGCGCATCTTGCACGGCGTGTTGTCCGGCCCCTGCCACAGCTCGATGTCCGCGTCCAGCGGGCGGCCCTCAGTGCTGAGGACCACTTGGACCTGCTCGACTGACGGCGAGCGGTACGACCAGGTGCGGAGCGAGCCGCCCTGGACGAGGATGGAGGAGTCGATGCCGAGGGGCGCGTTGCCCCGCGCGAGGGGCGTCTCGGCGACGCCTGAGGCGCGGTGCGGGCGCCCCGCTCAGCAAGTTTGTGGGAAGGGGGGTTGCGCTGGGCTTTGCGGGCGTGGCGCGTCGCGGCGAGGGGGGGGGGTGGGGGTCGCGCACCGGGCGCGGTCGGCGCGACGTAGCCGACCTGCATGCGGACGGCGGCACGCGACGCCGGCGCGACGGCCGTCATCGGCGCGTGGAAGCCGAGCGAGAGCGGTGCAAGGGCGGAGAGGACCATGACTTCGAGGATCTGCCAGATCGAAGCTCGTGAGATGTCATCTGAGACTTTACCTTCGATAGAAGCTCGTCTGCATTCTTTTTCTCAGGGCGAGTCGCTCGACGTCATTCTCTTTCTAGGGCGAGTCGCTCGACGTCATTCTCTTTCTCAGGGCGAGTCGCTCGACGTCATTCTCTTTCTCAGGGCGAGTAGCTCGACGTCATTCTCTTTCTCAGCACTCAGGGCGAGTCGCTCGACGTCATTCTCTTTCTCAGGGCGTCATTCTCTTTCTCAGCACTCAGGGCGAGTCGCTCGACGTCATTCTCTTTCTCAGGGCGAGTCGCTCGACGTCATTCTCTTTCTCAGGGCGAGTCGCTCGACGTCATTCTAAAATGGAGACCGCAACGGACGGAATCTGAACGGAATTCACAGCGGCTGTGCGCGGGTCGCGGGGTCTTCGCCGACAGAGACAGGTCGCGGCAGGGTCGCGACGCGCCGAATCGCTCGGCTGTTATGGCCACCCCACCAGCATTACACCGAACTACGACCGCTTCGCGCGGCAGGCAACGCGCTTTGAGCAGGCCCACACGAGCCACACCGTGTGCAGCCAGTCGCGTGCGGCATTCATGACAGGGTGGCCGACGCACGTGCACGGCCACCGCACGCTGAGCTACCTGCTGCACGGCAGCGAACCGAATCTGCTCAAGACACTCAAGCGCGCCGGTTACACTGTCGTGTGGTGGGGGAAGAATGACCTGCTGGCACGCGACGCGTGGGAGGAGTCGGTCACGCAGCGGCCGATCAAGCGCGGCGACGACAATGGGCGCAACCCCTTCGCCACCGACGACCCACGCTACAAGACGATGCTACGCGACCCGCCAACAGGCGGGCTCAACGGCTCTCGCGACTACGCTCGTGTGGCCGCTGCCGTGACGTGGCTGCGGACGCGCGCTGTGCAGCCGTTTGTGCTCTTCCTGCCGCTCGAGAAGCCCCACCCTCCATACTCGTGCCCGGAGCCGTTCCACTCGTCGGTGTCGGCCGAGACGCTGCCGCCGCTCCGCCCACGCGCACCTCGCCACGGGCGCGAGCCGGACTACCGGGAGCTCATTCGTCGTTATCGCTCGCTCGGGTCGGTGTCCGACGCCTTCCTGCGCGAGCTGCACGCGGTGTACCTCGGTTGCGTCTCCTTCTCCGATTTCTTGTTCGGCCTCGTCCTGCGCGCCGTCGACGATTCCCCTGCCCTCAAGGCCTCGACGAGCGTGCTGGTCTTCTCTGACCATGGCGGCTACGCTGGCGACTATGGCCTTGTGGAGAAGTGGCCGAGCGGGCTCGAGGACGTGCTTACGCGCGTGCCGCTGCTCGTGCGCACGCCAGGCGGGAGCGCCGGCGTAGTCAGCGAGCCGATTCAGCTGTTTGACATCGTGCCGACGCTTCTCGAGCTTGCGGGCGTACCCGCCGAGCATGTGCACTTCGGGAGTAGCTTCCTACCGCAGCTCCATGGCGCCCCCGCTGAGGTAGGCCGTGCCGTCTTCGCTGAGGGAGGGTGCGCCTCTGCGTAGTGCTGCCGCTCCAACATTTCCGACTGTAATCTCCCACCATTTTCCACCGTCTCCCACCTTCTCCCACCTCCTTCTGCCCAGGTTCGGCACCCACGAGCCACGTAGCCACGAGGGCTACGGCGGGATGCCCTCTGAGTTCAGCGATTACTACCCTAAGGTTGCCCAGCAGCAGAGCTACCCCCTCAGTGTATGCCGCGCAGTCTCTGTGCGCACGGCTCACCACAAGCTCGTCTTGCGGTCGGATCCGTCTGTGGCGGATGAGAGTTTGGTTCACGAGCTTTACGACCTGCGCGACGACCCGCTCGAGCTGAGCAACTTGTATGGCGAGGTTAACATGAGCGCGATCACCGCCGAGCTGAGATCACGCCTGCTGCGATGGTACATCCAGACAAGCGACACCGCACCACGCCGCATGGACCCACGCGACGGCGACTACGAGTGGCCGCAACCTTACGCCGCCCGGACCGCCCGAACCGAAGGCGCCGCCCGGACCGCCCGAACCGAAGACATCGCAGTTGTGGCCGTCGGCACGATGCTCATGTTGCTAGGGTGCGGATGGACCCGGTTGCGAGTGCGGCGCGGCGATGTGGGCCGGAGGGTGCTGTCCACAGTGGTTCCGAGCTCTCACGCCGCGCGTAGGGCAAATAGGGGCCTAGAGAACACAACCCCCTCTCCCTCTTTTCCCAGTAAGCTAAACGTACACTGAAAATCCTAGACAAACTCGCAAGAAGAGACGAAAATATGTCTCAAACTCAACACTCCGCGCAAAGAACCCATGATCACGCATTCTTGAGGGCCTAGTGTTGTAGATCCCTACGCCGTTGGGCAAATCGTGTGTGTGTCGCGGACGTGTGTCTTCTTTTTTTGTCGGCTCGCCGGCTCGCTGCTCGCTGCCCGCAGCGCGCAGGCCTGCCACCTATGCCCGACAACGCAGCCTCCTCCTTCATTGGCGCCAAGCGCGACGCTCTCTACGCGTCGGCTGCTGCGCAGCGGGGGACGCGGCAATCTCTCACGCAAAGGCTTTGGCCGAGACCACCGCGGCCGGCGCGCGCGAGGCTGCGGCCTCCACTGCCGATTCTATCATGTGAGCGACACACACTGACACTTGAGAGAGGGGGACACTGTGAGCGACACACTGACTTGAGAGAGGGACACTTCGGCAGACTACCCCCTAGGCAACTCCACGTACCCCCAGTACCCCCCCTTCCCGTCATGAGCGACACACTGACTTGAGAGAGGGACACTTCGGCGCGTCGGCCAGCGCGGCGCGCTCTCCACCATGATTTGGTCTACTGCCTCTTCCACCTGCGCTGCGCCGATTTGCCGGCGCACTCGACCGTCTCGAGGACGGTGTCGTTGTCGGGCAGGAGCACGCGCGACGAGACCATCGGCTTGGAGCCCTGGACCGTGAGAGAGAATGTGTCGAACGGGCCTCGCGGCCCCGGAAGCCAGACGCCTGACGTCAGCTTCGGCCCTCCGAACGGCATCGGGTTCTCGCGCCACTCGCCGTCCGTCACAATCTTCAGCACCCGGCTCCCGACCGGGTCCTTCTGCTTGCACAGCACCTCGTCTGCGCCGGGCATCGACAGCACCTCGACCTGCGGGAAGGCGCCCCCAGCGCCAAACCCCACGGCGCGGGCGGCTCCTCGCAGCACCATGTTGTAGCCGTGCTCCTTGAGCACAGCGCCCATGTCGCCCTCCACGGAGACACACTTCCACGTGCCTGCGACGGCCTCGCGGTCCACCTCGATCGGCGGTGAGTCGGCGTGGCTCAGCCGGCCCTGCACCACGGTCGCGCGCTGGCCGACCACCGGCGCCCTCGCCTGGTCGGCGAGGCACTTGTGGCAGACCGGCCGCGCAAAGTGCGCCGAGCACACGCTGCCGCCACACTTGCGGCAGTGGTGACGGCCGCCGAATGCGAAGCCCTTGCCGCACCCGTCGAACTCGCAGCAGCGGGCGCGGTGCCGCCGCGCAGGCCGCTCGAGGGTGTCGAGCCGGCTGGCCAGCCCGTCAGCCGTCGCGGTGAGTGCGGCGATGGCGGCGCTCGCCTCAGCTGCCTTCTTCTCGGCCTCCTCACGCTCGGCCTGGGCACGCTTGAGGTCGAGCTCGATGGCGTCGAGTCGCTCCATGACAGGGTCCTCAAGCCACCGCAGCATCGGTTTCGCGCACGCGGCTATGGTGATTTCGACAAGGCTTCGTCTGCGACTCGAGGATGTCGCAGTCCCTTGCCACGCGGGAAGGACGTCCGTATGAGAGTAGACATCCGTTGGGCAGGAGAGAGAACGAAGAGAGATAGGAAGATGCAGACGCCTAGGGGTGGGTGACGGCTAGCAACCGGTAGCAACAACGCCCCGTCCTTTTGTTTTCCCGTGAAATCCCTGTACGTGGATCGTGGTGCGGCGTCGTGCCGTCCTCCCTTAAATAAATAAACACAGGCGGAGAAAACGGACACCTCCACTTCTCTTAGCAATCTATAAAGGAAAAGGAACAGGTCCCTGGTCGTTGGATACTACCCTCCTCCTCCTCAATCCCCCCCCGCCGCATTCCGGCGCGCCAAGCGGCCACCGCCTCCTCCCCCCTCGCCCTGGACCTACGTCTCCGCCACTCCTGATGGGGGCGTGCCGTGCCGGATCCTCTCCAAGTGCAGCTCTTCGAGGAGCCTGGTCATCCTCTCCACTTCTTCTGCACTCAGCCCGTGCACCGCCGACCCCTCCAGCTCGGCTGACGCCGCCGCCTCCTCCTCACCTGTCCCCTCGGGCTGGGCTGCCTCTTCCTCAGCCTGCACCTCGGGCTCCTGCGATGGCCCCGCCGCGCTGCTCCCTCCACCCTTCCCCTTCTTCCTCCTCCCCCTCCCCCTCCTCGTCCTTCCCTTGCCGCGCTCCTCCGCCTCGCCCTCCTCCTCGCCTCGCAACGCCGCCTCCGCCGTGCGGTGCCCGACGCTGCCCTCGGCGTTCGTCTGCCCAGGGGCGAAGCCCGCGCTGCCGCCACTCGCGCCGCCGCCGCCACTCGCGCCGCCGCCGCCACTCGCGCCGCCGCCGCCAAAAATGACGCCGCCGCCAGACTGGCCCGCCGCCCACCTTGCGATGAGGCCGCGTAGACTAAAGTTGGCGTAGACGTCGCCCATATCGAGTGAAGCCTGCGTGGTGGGGTCGATCTTGCGCACGCTCAGCCACTGGCGCAGCGCCTCGCGCTCGTATGAGATACCCGCAGGGCCGACGACCGGGTCACTCATCACCTGGTGAGAGATCGGGCACACAAACTCGGCGGGAGGGTCGTCCAGCTTGTCGGGCAGCGAGAGCGGCGGCGGCTGCGCCGCGCGCGGCGGCCGCACGCGATCGCGAACGTCGCGCAGTCGCAGCCGCCGCAACAGCCAAACGTTGCTCGGGACGGGCTCCAGGCCTGCAAACCTGCCGTGGCTGCAGACCGCATCCTTGCAGTGGACCGACTTCCAGGAGCGAAGGTCTGCGCTCCAGATCCACCCCGAGCGAGGGCGAGCCAGCCAGATGGTGGTGACCGCAAACGACGCCTTCACCGCCCACACCTCGACGTCACCGTTGACGCCCCCCGTTATCCGAGGCTCGAGCTCCATTTCGCGTGGCACGCGCAGGGCAAAGTCGGTGCGCACGTCGTCGAGCAGCGCTCGCTTCTGCCGTGCGGCCTCGCGCCACTGCAGGGCGCGGCTGAGGCGATAGCGAGCGAGAGCCTCGGCGGCACAACTGACGGCAAAAAAGAGGGCCGGCGCCACACACGCGCCGGCGACTGCTGACGAGCTGCGCAAAAACCCGCGATAGCCGCTGGCGCCGCCACCAGTTGGGCGCCCGGCTGTAAAAAGCCGTCTGGCCGCGCAAGAAGCGAGCACGGTGCACGCGTACCTGGCTTTGGACTCCATGAGAGGACGAAACAACGTACCGGAACAGAGCGGCAAGCTCGCCACCTCCGTCGCGTGGAGGGTCTCCGTGAGCAGAGGGTGGTCGTCGACCCCTCTCTCCCACTGCTCGCCGAGCGTGAAGGCGTCAGCCATCACGTCTGGCCGATCTCGCTGTCTCCGCCGCTCTCGTGTGAGCAGGCTGCTGGTGCGCCGGTGCCGCTGGAGGGCTGAGGCCGGAGTCAGGACCTCCGCCAGGGGCAAAGCGTCGAACAAAGCGTCTCGCCGCGCTTTTCCTGGGTACAGGGTTCGGACTTTTGCGGGGTAAGGTAGGGTGCAGACCAAGCCTCCCGCCGACAGGACCATACCCCCCCCACCCCCCCCACCGCCGGCCGCCTTACTGCTAGGCTCCAGGAGGAGGCTGCAGACTTCAACAGCAACACGCAAGAACCTCAAAAAAATTCTCTCTCTCCCAACACGCACACTAGATACGCGCGGATGGCCGCCGTCGTCCACGCCAGCACCGGCCAGTGCTCGTCTAGAGCGCGGCGGCGAAGTTGGCATCGCCTGGCGAGCGGCGGGCGCGGCACCCGCGCCGGTCGCCGCACCCCGCATAGCAGGCGCCGCGCCGGCCGTCCCCGCGCGGGCGGCTCTGGTGGCCGCTGCGACGCCCGCCCCGCGGGCCACCACACCGGCGAGGTCCTCCGTCGGCATCGCCGTGCCGGCGGGTGCCCCTCCGGCGGGTGCCCCCGCTCCGGAGCGGTCGCCTCGCCGGTGTTCGCCTCGTCCCTCGAGCGGGTTGGCTGGCTATGCCAGCGGCGCAATCTCGGGGGACTTGTAGTACATCCAACTTGGACGGCTGGCGTTCGAGATCTGGCCGAGCATTCTGAGCGACGGCTATGTTAATTCGCGCGACATTGAGGCGCTCCGCAACCAGAAGGGTGTCGGCGAAAGTGGAGCGCGGAGCAGGCTGCAGCAGCTCCGCGACACAGCCACACAGGCGCGTGCTCCTACCTCGGCGGCGGCAGTAGAGGGAAGGGCCGAGGGACCATACCCCCTCACCCCTGTCGAGGGCTAGTCTTGGGCGGTTAGGACCATACCTCGACCCCTCACCCTTTGCGCTTTGGGCCGGGATGGGACCATTACCATTATACCATACCCCGCAAAAAGTTGGAACCCAGCACTGTCACGACAAGAAACAATTCTTAGCCCGCCTCTCTCACAGCACACTGGCACGAGAAGGGCGTGGACTGGCGCACACTAGCACACACATCGGCACACAAGAAAGAATAAAAAATCCGGTGAGTTTCCGTGTTTCGTGCCAGTCATCTCCTCTCTCCCGCGTCCACCCTTTACCGCGCTAGTGTCCAGTCCGGCCTAATGTGCTTCATTCACCTTTCTCTCTTATCTAGATTTATCAACATACATGTACACACAACGACACCGTCCTCGAGACGGTCGAGTGCGCCGGCAAATCGGAGGTGGAAGAGGCAGAAGACCGATCATGGTGGAGAGCGCGCCGCGCTGCGGCCGAAGCGCCGAAGCGTTCCTCTCTCAAGTCAGTGTGTCGCTCACAGTGTCCCTCTCTCAAAAGTCAGTGTGTCGCTCACGTGAATTGGGGAAGGGGGTGGGGGTACTGGGTACGCTTGTTGGAGTCGCCAAGGCAGGTACGGCCAGCTATAACAACTAAAAAAGAAATGCTTGTTAGCCTGCGAAAGACACTACTCTCCCCCTCCCGTCGCTCGTCCCCCTTGGCGTGGCGCGCCTCTCCCCCAGCTCTCGGTATCGCGTACTGCACGAGGCTACCGTGGGCCCCGCCTGCGCGCTGGGGGTTCCCTGCCCTGTCGGGAAGCCTAGCTCTTAAACTGGGGTCGCTACCTAATGCGGGGCTCCTGGACGGGCGATGAAGTTCGCCTTAAATCTCTCGTCTCGCTTTCCCCCCGACTCGCGTCCGTCGGGGTACTCCCTACCCTCTGGCTCTCTGATCCCCCCCCCCCCCTCCTTCCCTCTCCGGGAAGAGATGCGCACTGCTGTCCCTAGAGGGGGGTCGGGTGGTGAGTGTGGGCATAATTCGGCTCGTGTTATTCGCGGTCATCCACGGACGATCGCTGGAGTGGGCCGAAGGACAGAGGCTTGCTTGTGTGGGGGCGCGCGGGCGGCGCCCACTCAGGCTCGGCCTCCGTTGTCTCGCCTTCAGTTCACCTCTCCTAGCGCCCGGTTTGGTGTGGTGACCTTCCATCGTGTTCTGTGGCATTCGGCGTTCTCCATAAGAGTTCGGGTCTAGCTATAGCAACTGTAACGGCCAGCGAGTCGTGGTTTATTCGTAACGGGACTGCGCAGCGGCACATAACGTAGAATAGGGTCTTTTTTTGTTTACAAGAGCTAAGACACGTCACACTCCGGCGGGAGGCAGCGCGCGCGGGCAGGCGGCAGCGCTACACACTCCTACACACCGGTCGACTAGCCGCTCCGAGGTGCATGCAGTGGACAAACGGGCGGCGAGAGGGACAGATCTCGCTCCTCGGGGAGCCACCAGAGCCAATGCCACCCACGCAGCCGAGAGAGCCCGAGACACGAGAGACACGAGCCAGACGCGCGCTCGATCGCATCCAGGGCGTCACACCCGGGCGACGGCGAGGGCGTACGCGCTGGAGACCCGCGTCCGCCGCGGCTGCTTGGGCGCCGCGTCGACGCGGTCCGCCCAGCCCGCCTGCTCGTCGCCCTGGTCGTCGTCGGGCGGGAAGCCCGCGAGGCCGTCGCCCGCGCAGCGCCGGGGGCCGTCGCTGTCGCCCTCGGGGTGGCCGCAGTGGCAGGGGCCCAAGTCGCACTCGGGGTGGTCGCAGCAGTGGTTGCCCTCGGAGAGGCGCGCGAGCGTCACCATGGAGCGGACGCTCGAGGACCGCCGCAACGCGGGTGCCTTCTGCCTCGACAGGACGCCGTGGCACTCGCAGCAGAGGACCGAGGAGAGCCATCGCTGCCGGGCCCAGGCGTGGAGGTTGTTGCGCACGCACAGCACCCACGCGTCGCGGTGCTCCTCGCTCATACACTGGAACGTCAGGTCGTTGCCGTCGCGCAGGCGGATGATCCAGCCGAACCGTTGCGCCGAGGGACCGGCCGCCGGCGTCGCGACGCCGCGGCAGAGCGCGCCGGTTGCCGCTGCGCCTTGAGCCGCTGCACCTTGACGACATCGGCAAAGCCGATGCTGCGGACGCGCGTCCCGTCCTCGTGCTGGTAGGCCAGGCTCTTCGAGTGAAGAACGAGCGCGCGAGGCTGGAAGGTCCCTTTGTTTGCTCCGAGGAAGCCGCCCCTCCGGCAGAGCTTCTTCTGGTGGGAGGAGGCGTGGAGGACGCGCCAGTACTTGTGGCGCTCCTCCGGCTCAACCGGGGCGTCCTTGAGCACCGAGAACCGCCGCAGCCGCACCATGAACCGGCAGATCGTCAGGAAGCTCCAGCAGCGCCTCTCACGCTTGTCGGGGGCGGCGGCGGCGCTGCCGCGGCGGCTCTTGCCGCTTCGCGCGGACCCGCGGTTGGACGAGAGGCGAGCCGAGCGCTCCGGCGCGGTGGAGACGAAGAACGAGACCCCCTTCTTGACCGACGGCCTCTGAGCCTGCGCCGCCGTGTCGAGCGCCGCGGCTTGAGAGGTGCGTGGGTGCGAGCTGGTGGACGACATTGTGGAGCGCGAAAGCGCGGGAGGAGCAAGGAGTTGAGGTTGTGGCCTGCGTGGAGCAAGGTTTGGAGTTGGGAGAGGGAGGGTCGCGCGGGTCCGACCTGCGGCATGGCGCAGCGAACCGGTAGGCTCCGAGCCGAGGTTGTTGCCCTTGCGACGTTATTGTGCACGTGGCGGAAGGACGCACGGAGTCCTCTTTGGACGGATCCCTTTCGCCGTGTTTGATCCCCAAGGCTTGAGCGTGGGAGAAACGAAGTAGAGGATCGGACGGAGCCGTCCCTCAACGATTTTCCGCGACCCTGCCGCGACCTGTCTCTGTCGGCGAAGACCCCGCGACCCGCGCACAGCCTGTGAATTCCGTTCAGATTCCGTCCGTTGCGGTCTCCATTTTAGAATGACGTCGAGCGACTCGCCCTGAGAAAGAGAATGGCGTCGAGCGACTCGCCCTGAGAAAAAGAATGCAGACGAGCTTCTATCGAAGGTCTCCAAAAAGTCTCAGATGACATCTCACGAGCTTCGATCTGGCAGATCCTCGAAGTCATGGTCCTCTCCGCCCTTGCACCGCTCTCGCTCGGCTTCCACGCGCCGATGACGGCCGTCGCGCCGGCGTCGCGTGCCGCCGTCCGCATGCAGGTAGGTAGGTAGGTAGTGTAAGGTGAAGAACAGCCAGGCTCGGACTGGACACCAACGCGGTATGGGTGGACGCTGGACAGATGATGACGACACGCACGAGCGACACACAGACACAAACAAGCTCACAAGACACACAGCCAGCTGGCTGCCACACACCCTGAGTCGGCAAACACATAACTCAAGGCCACATCCTCCCTGTCGCCCCCCCCAGCACTCCACGGTGCCAAGAGTACAAACAAGGGCACAACAAACAAACAGACGACAGGAAGTGATATGCGAGGCTAGAGCGGGCATGCATGCAGGTCGGCTACGTCGCGCCGACCGCGCCTCCCCCCCCCCCCCCCTCCCCGCGAGGGCGTCACGGCCCATGCCGCTCTGCAGGCGCAAACGAATTCTTGCGTGGTGTACCTGTGTTAGTGCCAGTGCGCGCCAGTCCCGTGCGCAGCGCGGCCTTTTGAATTTCTTGCTTACGCGAGGGTTGTAAAATTCTTCTTGCGCCTTCGCGGCGGCCCGCTAGGGGCCCGTTTGCTCTGCTCCTCGGCGACCCCCGGTCGCTGCACGGGCTAGCGGTTGCTTAGCGGCTGCGCAGGCCATCTCCGGTCACAGGGAGCCAGTGCATGGCCACCGACCCGATGTGGACCCCGACCCGTGAGATTGCTACGCCGGAACACCTCGACCGTCTGCTCAGCACGTTCGAGTCCATCCGCGAGGACGGCGGTGACAACGTGGCAAAGGCGCGGACGTGGCTCAACGCGCAGCAGCGCGCGGTGGCGGCGTGGCTGCGCAAGCAGCAGCTCAACGCGACCGCTCCGCCGCTCCGCCGGCTTGACGTCTCTCACAGCTGTGTGTCGCACCTGCTGTGCGGCGGTGACGGGTTCGCCGAGCTGCTGCTGCACTGCGAGCAGTCGCTCGACGAGCGTGCGGTCGTGCGGCTGCTACCGCAGCTGTGCGACGTGCTCGTCCTCGGCGTGGGCTCGCTCGCACCGTCCGACCGGGTCCTGCTGCGCCGCTTCCTCCTCGCGCGCTGCGTCGGCCGCGAGCCGGTGTCACTGTCCTGAATCGCAGTTGTCAATCATCGAACGCGTTCACTCATGAATTCGTAGGCTCGCAGCCGGTGGCGCTGCATGTGTGCTGGTACCTGCGAGCGGTTGCGGCGGACGCAGCGCGCGGGCGGGACGCTGCTCTGTCGCTCACCGAGGCGGTTGTGGTCGCCCTCGCCGCCGCCGACGCGGGAGCGACCCACCCCGATTGGGCGGGGAGAGGGGCGGGGAGAGAGTCCAACCGCTCCGCCTTCTCCTCCCTCTACGCGGGCCCGGACACAGTGGCGGGAGGAGGAGCAGCAGCAGCAGAGGCGACGCCCGCTGCTGGCGCTCCCGCCGCCGCCGCTGCCACCGGCGCTGTTGGCGGCGGAGGCTCTGGCTCGAGCGAGCGGTGCAGCTCGGTGGCAGCGGAAGAGGGCAGAGGGGGAGGAGAGAGCAGAGGGGGCGGGGAGAGCAGAGGGGGCGGGGAGAGCGGAGGGGGAGGAGAGAGCAGCTGCTCTGCACGACTGAAGCTGAGCCTTGGCCTGGTCGGCCGGCTCTGCGCGGCGTGCGGCGAGCTCGAGCGGCTGCCTAGGCCCGAGCGGCAGGCCGCGCTCGTGGCTGCCCTCGAGGCTGTCCCCTCTGACGCCGTCCGGGGCGCGTGGCTGCCTGTCGCTCCACACGCTTTGCGGCATCACTCGCTCGAGGCTCCCCCGCCCCCCCCTCCCCCTCCCTGACACGTCCCTCAGACACGTCCCACATCCCTCCCTCAGTCCCCGGCACGCCCCCGTCCCTCAGGCCCTCCTCCCCTCCGAGGCCGTCGCCATCTCAACCAACGCCCACTGCCCCGTGATTCTGCACCTTCCCGTCTTGCTGCCGCTGCCCGCGACGGCGCCCCCGCGCACATCCGCAAAGGCCGACAAAGAGGCGGTCCGAGGCTGCGTGGCGGCGGCAACTCACGGGTTCGCGCCGTGAACAGGTGGGGGCGTGAACCTACTACATCTCGGCTACTCTCGAGTCGACATCAGCCACCCTCGCGTGAGCAGGTGGAGGCGTGGATCCGGCGGCTGCAGGACAAGGCGGAGGCGCTCAGCGCGTTGGGCGAGCGAGGCGACGCCTTGATGAAGAATGGCTGGTGAGTGGCCCGGGGGTGGCAGACTCACACTTGCGGTGCGCTCGGCACTATTAGGCGGGCCGCGGGGCGGTGGGGCGGCGGCGACGTGGGGCGGCGGCGGAACGGCGCCGCTCGCCGCCGCCGCCGAAGAGGGCCAGTCGACCGGTGCGGCGGGCGCGGGTGCGGAGGATGCTGATCCTCCGCCTGCGGCGGGCGAGGGGGAGGGGGGCGGCGAGGAGGGCGAGGGCGGGGCGGGGGGCGGGTCGGAGGAGGTTGACTCGGACCGTCGGACTGCCGGCCGGGAGACCGCCGCGGAAGGCGCTCGCTGGGGAGGCGCGGACGTGGACGCGTGCGGTTCGGAGCGTGATACGATTGCGGTTAGGCGGCGGTTCGGAGGTATGGGCCGAGAAGCGCGCGCGGCTGGTGGCGAGGCACGAGGCGGCGGCGGGGGCGGCAGCGGCTGGCTTCTGCTACCGCATCCTGCCGTGCCTCGTCAAGACGGGCGACTCGCTGCTGCAGGAGCAGTTTGCGGTGCAGCTCATCTGCGCGTTTCAGGACATCTTTGACGCCGCGCGGCTGCCGCTCTCTCTGCACGCGTACGAGATCTTTGCGACGGCGCCCGACGCCGGCCTCGTGCAGCTCGTCACGGGAGCAGACTCGATCGACGGCCTCAAGCGGCGCAGCACGCCGCCGCCGGCGCTCGCAGACCTCTTCCGCCGCGCGTTTGGGCCGCGCAGCAGCCGCGCGCATCGCAGGGCCGAGCGCGCCTTCTGCTCGTCATGTGCGGCTTGGGCGGTGGTCACCTACTTGCTGCAGATCAAGGACCGGCACAACGGCAACATCTTGCTGCGCGCCGACGGCGCTATCGTCCACATCGACTTTGGGTTCCTCCTCTCCAACTCGCCTGGTGGCAACATAAACTTTGAGGCGGCGCCTTTCAAGCTCACCTCAGAGTACGTCGACCTGATGGGCGGCGCCCGCTCCTCCACCTTCCTCCGCTTCCGCGAGCTCGTCATTAAGGGATTCCTCGCCGCGCGCAAGCACGCGGACAAGCTCATCGCGCTCGCCCAGCTCACGCTGCACGGCGCCGGCCGCGATATGCCGTGCTTCACCGCCGGGCAGGTGCTTGGCACAAGCGCCTGCCAGCTCTCCGGGTGACTCCATCAGCCGTCCCCGTTGGCCCTGATTGCAGGCGGCGGTCGACGGGTTACGGTCGCGCTTCCAGCCCGAGATGACGCGGTGGCAGTGCGCGCGGCACGTTGACGAGATGATTGGCCGGTCGATCGACCACTGGACGACGACTTGCTACGACCGCTACCAGCGCTGTTGGCTCGGCATCATGTCCTGAGCGAGTATGTGTTTTGGGTCTGTGCAGAGTTTTGAAGTCAGATAATTTTTTGAAAATTGAAAATTACAATCACAGCTCACAGGCACAGCAGGGTTTCGGGGGAAGAGCCGAGCGCGATCGCGTCCCCGCTGCGGACCTGGCCGCTCGCTATTGCTGGTCCATGAGGCGCGGGTTTGCGGCGCACTCATGGGCGAGGTGGCGCCGCAAACCGTCGATGTCCGACGGCAGTGGCTGCTGGCAAAACGGGCAGCCGACGTACTCCGCGTCCTCGCCGAGCGGCGGACCGTAGCGGAAGGGCTTCGAGCAGTCGCACTCGGAGAGGAGGTGCTCGTTAAGGCCGGCAGCCTCGACCACCTGGCACGGCGGGTGGGAGGGAGGCGGGGAGGAGGGGTGGGTGGGTGGGTGTGTGTGGGGGGGGGGGGCTTCATCGAGGCGCCACAGCGGTGGGCGGCGGGGCGGGGCTCCCACCTGCCCGCACTGCTCGCACGAGGTGAGGAGCGGGCACTCCTTCCAAAAGTGGAGGTCGAGCGCCTCCTCGCTCACCCACGCCGCGTCGCGCCGCAAGCAAAACTGGCACTGGTCAGGCCCGACCTCGAACCCGCCCGCCTCCTCGCCGCCCTCTCGCACGCCGGATGAAGAGAGCGGCCCTTGCAGCGCAGGACTCCGCCCCCGCCCTCCGCCGCCGCCGCCGCCGCCGCGTCGGCGGCCGCCCTCGCCAGACTCGCTCGCCGGCTCGGCCGAGCGCTGCTCGAGCGAGGCGAGGAGCGGGTCGCGCAGCGCCGGCTTGAGGTCGGCAAGCTGCCTCGCGAAGACCTGCATGTCTCCGACCAGCGCGAAGAGCTCGCGCGCCGCCTCGGTTGCCTCAGCGCGCACCTGCCCCGAGGTTCAGCCGAGGTGCGGCCGACGTGCGGCCGAGGTGCGGCCGAGGTGCGGCCGAGGTGCGGCCGAGGTGCGGCCGAAAGATAGCCACGCCTGTCCCGAGGCAGAGCCGAGCGCCTCCTTGACGAGCCGCAAAGCTGGGTCGGACAGCTCGCGCACCTGCCAAGCACGTCATGGACGTGTTGCGGACACGTGTCTTGGACGGGTCGTGGTCTTTGTCGGACATCTCGACCACCTGCGGCCCATGCTCGCGCAGGAGGCGCTGCAGCGGCGCGAGCCGGCCGAGCCACGCCTGCGAGCTGTTCCGCTTGGCCGGCGGCAGCGGCGCGACGAGCAACGCACCGACGGCGGAGGGCCCGATCGCTGGCAGAGAGCAGAGGGCGAGGAGGGCGCCCTCGGCCGCCTCGCGCACGCGTCCGTTCGAGTCGGAGAGCTTGTCTCGCCAGGAGAGGAGGAGCGGGCGCAGCTCTCGCTCCGCGTCGCGCGAGCCGAGCGCGCCTGTGCGACATTGTTAGGACACGTCATGCACGCGTCGTGAACAGACCCTCTGTCGCGCGATCCGAGCGCGCCGGGCGAGCTGATGAGCGCCGCGAGCACATCGAGCGAGGCGAGAAACACATTCACCTGGCGCGGCGCGCACACGCCGGGTGAGCGACGGGCGGAGAAACGGCGGCGGCCGGCTGTTGCGAGGCTGAGGGCGCGCCATCTTGTCCGATGCTCCGATGAGCATCACCTTGGCGGCGGCGGCGAGGGCACGCCGCTCGCCGACGAGCGACGGCGCCTTCGCCGCGGCGGCCGCCATACCCGACTGGCGCACCTGCCAGCTGCGAGAGAAGACGCGCGCGGCTACCTCCTCGCCTGCGGGAGCGCAGGGGGCGGCTCAGAGGAGGACACTAGTGGAGGACGGGAAGGTTTGGGAACGGGCTCTCGGGTCTCCGCGCCGCACAGTGAGTTGGAATCTCGGCTGTGTCTCGGCTATGTCTCGGCTATGTCTCGGCTATGTCTCCGCACCGTACAGCTCGAGCAAGCCGCACGCCTCCGCCTCCTTGCGGCTCGCAGCCTCGAGCGGCTCGGGCGGAGGGACGTCGTCCACGCCCTCCGCCGCCTCGCTCTCCGCGCCGGACAGAGGCGCCGCCGCGATCGGTCGCTCGTCGTGCTCGCGCTGGTTGGTCGCGCGCCGAACGCCTCCGGGGCCTCCGCCGCCACGCTTCTCCCCCCTCTGCTGCTCCGCCCCCCGCTCCTCCCCGCCGTCCCGCTGTCGCTCTGCTTGCTGCTGCTGCCGCCGCTGCTGCTGCTGCTCCCGCCGCCGCTGCTGCTCCTCCGCTGGCGATGCCACGCCTGTCGAAGCTAACGGCGGAGGCGACGGCTGCGGCAGCGGCGGCGAGAGCGGCGGTGGCAGCGGCGACCGCTGCCTCGAGGACGGTGGCCGCACAATCCCGCCGGCCAACGGCGGCGTAGGAGCGGCGCGGGCGGCGCCGGACGGCGGCGGGCTGCGAGGGTGGGGCGGCGGCGGCGGGGCAGGAGCTGGCTCGGCGGGGCGGCGCGCCATCGCGTCTCGCGCCATCTCGTCGATCCGCTGCTGCGCCTATGAGCGCAGGGTCGGCGAGCGGTCCGGGGGGGCGGGCTCTTTCTGCAGACTGCGCCGCCGCCAGCTCGCCGCGCCGCTCGCAGCTCGGGTGGCGGCTCGGGGGACGCGCCGCCCGCCGCGCCTGCGTAGGCGGGCGGCGGCGCGGCGGCGCGCCGGCCGGGCACGCCGCCAAACGAGCCGAGTCCGAGGGTGGGTGGGGGCGGCGTGGGGACGGGCACGCCGGCCGAGGAGCGGAGGGCGAGGATCTGGTCTTTGAGCGACTTTGCCGCGTCGTAGTCCTCGCGCTGCGGGGCGGGTGGGCGGGGTCGTGGTCGAGGCACGGGTGGGCGGTGGGGTGTGGGTGGAGCGGGGTGGTGGTTGCGGGTGTGGAGGTGTGGGTGGAGGTCGAGGGGCAGGAGGGGCAGGAGTGGCGGCGGCGGCGGCGGCGGTGGCGGTGGAGACAGGAGCAGGAGGGGGCGAGGTGGTTGTGGTTGTGGGTGAGGAGGAGCAGGAGGAGGAGGTCGGGGGGCAGGAGTGGGCAGGAGTGGTGACGAGCCTGCACAGCCGCGAGCTTCTTACGCTCGAGCGAGGAGAGCTCGACGCCGACGCCGCGCAGCTCCTGCGGCGGAGAGCGACCGCACTCTTCTAGGGCCGCTCCAGGCACGTTCTGGGACGGCTGCGGGGGAAGACTCTCTAGGAGGGGTCTGGGAGGCGCCGCCTCGATCCGTGTCTTGAGCGCCTTGGCGTGCTCGTACTCCTCGGCACGGACGGCCTCCTCCTTGTCGCGGTGCAGCTCGTGCAGCAGCGCCTGTCCACAACCCGCCCGGACGCTCAACCGCCGCCGGCGCATCTCCCCGCGCAACTCGCGGAGGGAGGGTGGGGCGGCTGCCATCACGCCGCCATCCACCGCGCCTCCGGCCCGCTCCTCCGCCTCCTCCGGCGCTAAGGGCGGCCGCGTCGCCAGCCGGGAGAGCGGCGCGTCGAGGGGCCGCTCGCCGTCGCCGCCCCCGTCGCCGATCACGCGCACCGCCAGCAGGCCTAGCTGGCTGTACAGGTTGTGCTCGTTCACGTGGCACTTGTGCAGCAGCAGCCGGAGGTAGAGGCCGTCGGCGCGGCGCGGCACGTAGACCGTCTTGAGCTCGCGCGCCTGGAACTTGGAGCGCTCGTTGCAGTCGAGCGAGAAGTGCCCGAGCCGCGAGAACTGGATCCCCTCGAAGCCCGACGCCGGCGGCTCCGCCTGCCCTTCGGCAAGCGACCCGACAAAAAGCTCGATCCGCGTCGCAATCTTGAACTGGTGCGAGAGCAGCTGGACCTGCTGCACGTTGACCGGGCCGCCAAACTTGAGGACGATCTCCTGCGCCGTGAAGCGGCGCGGTCTCAGGCCGGGGGATCGCAAGGGCAGCGTGGCGGCACAACACCTGAGGAAAGTCGCAGAACCGAGAGCTCTGCCAGCCGCGCGACTGCGAGTGGAAGCTCTGCAGCTCGCGGGCGGGGTGCTGCTCGTCCTCGGACGAGCACGACGCAACCGTGTAGGGTATGAGAGACATGAGTCGGGGGCGGTCGGTGAGGTCGATGGTGTGGCGCGAGCGTTGCGTGTCTGAAAAATCAAAGGAAATGAGGGAAGACTATTCCAAGACTCAATAGGGTCAGGGCTCTCTAGCCCGTAGCCCGATGCCGATCATCCGGCTCGCTGGGTGCGCTTCTTAGCTCCCCGGCCCTGGATGTGAGCGGTTAATGACTGCACTCCAAGTGCTCCAAGTGCTCCTAGAATCAATCGTCGGGCCACAGCGCTCAGCGGGGTGGCTGCGCTTCTTAGAGCTCCCCGGCCCTGGATGTGAGGTTGATAGCCGCACTCCAAGTGCTCAGGGCTCCTGGCCCCCATGGTACTTACTTGGGGTGAAATTCTCAAAAAGGTGCAGCACTTCTAGCCGACATCGACAAAAGTCCCTCTCTTGCCCCGCGGCGAGCGGCCCCGCCGGAGGCGAAGAAAATTTCGCCATCTAGCGCTCGCAACACATAGATTTGTGCATAAATCAACACCTCCAATCTTCGGGGGAGTGACGGATAAAGGCGTGCGAAAGAGCTAATGAATCCGAAAGCAGCGAATCCAAGTGATGGCCCGCCGCAGGCGAAGAAAATTTAGGGTTGGGGTTCCCCTAGAGAGATTTAGCAATGTTTGTTGTTTGTTCCCCTATGCCAAAGAACTTAAACAATGCCAAAGAACTCGGAGAGGATTTCGGCGGCCGGCGTCGAGGCACAGCGGTTCGCGCTGCCTGCTCGCGCTGGTTACACCGTTGCTGTGGCCGTCTTCGTCCGTATTGTACACCGAGCTGGCGCCACAGCAGAGTACAACAACGGCTCGGACGAACTGCTCCACGGTACTACATCATCAGAGGGCCCGGCAAGGTCCACGGCGGAGCTGGCGGTGGTGGGAGTGGTGGTAGGAACGAAGGCGCACCTGTCGGCGATTCACCGCCGTTCGTTCCCGTCTCTCAAAGCTGGTTACACCGTCGATGCGCACATCGAGGCGCTCGTGGACGAGAGAGACGTCGCCTCCTCTTTCGTCCCGGGGCACTGTTCACGCCGGAAGTCCCCGTACACTGCCAAGTACATTAGCCTTCATCTCTCCTACCGCCGGCCGGGAGTGCAGCCGCCACCAGTGAGATTGCCTCGACGTTGGCACCTGCGAAGTAATGAACAACAGGCAGTGCGTCATATGGCGCTATGATAGCCCTGCGGTGGACGTCCTCGACGCAGACGAGGCGGAGCTCATCTGCGCGGCGCAGATCGCCGACTGTCTCTCCCTCCCTGCGCGAGTGGTTGCACCACCCTGGATGAGGCATCTGGGCTGGGGCAGGGCCGTTAGTAGAGGAGGGCGACTGAGGGCGCGAGGCCGCCAATCGTCAAAGTCTGCTGCGACTGACTGTCGGTCACTGACTGAGCAATGAGCAATCGCATCGGCGGTTTCACTCACGCTCACAATCGGGTTACATCCAGGTCTCTGTGCGGGATGTGCTGGGGGGCTGCCCCCCAGTCGATTGCCGCATAGTTCGTCGATGTAACCCTACCAGAAAGCTGTATTCACACCTACCCTTCCAAAAAAAGAAATGTCCCTGCTTTTGTCGAAGATCCGGCGGGTTTATCGGAGCATCACCCCTTGTTACTAACACCTAAGGCGCTCTCAGGCAGCAGCAACCCTGGGCCCAAACCTGACCAGACTGTGGCTCTCGAGGCTGCGCTGCCGCCGCCCTACTGGGCGCCCACCCCTGCCACCGCTCGCACGATGCGTGTCAATGTGGGCGGGGGGCCATGGCTCGGCCGAACTCATCGACCTTTGCCTGCAGCTCCTCCATGCCGTGTGCAAAGTTGCAACGGTCACCGTATGTGCACCTGCCGACTGCGTGATGCTTGCAAAGCGTCGTCTTCCAAGTCCTCGGTGAGGGCGCGCCGGCGGTACCCTGCCTCACGTACGCGTCCGCCGCCGCCGGCTGCCTCGCATACGGGTCCGCCGCCGGCAGCTGCCTCGCAGCGTAGTACGGGTCCGGCGGCGGCATCGGGTTGCTGCCGTACGCATACGGGTCCGCCGCCGCCATCCCGCTGAAGTAGGCGCTCGGAGGCGCATACTGCTGCGATGTCGGTGGGGCAGAAGGAGGCGCCGGCGCCGGCCTCGCGCGCAGCTCCTCCTGCCCGTGTGCAAACTTGCACTTGGCGCCGTACGGGCAGCCAGCTTCCGACGCGAACCCTTTGCACAGCACCGTCTTGTACATGGCCACCTTTGCGTCGCCGTCCAGCGTGCGCTTAGTCCCGTGGGAGGGGTCGTACGTCTGCGCGGCGCTGCCGTACGCGGGTGGCGGCGCGCCGTACGCCGGCGCGCGGGCAGCCTGAGCGCTCACGAGCGAATGCATCGCCGCCTCGAGGGTCGGCTTGGCGCCGCGCAGAGAGTCGTTCGCCTGCCGGAGGTACTCCTGCGCGCTCTGCTGCTGCTGCGACGCGGCCAGCAGCTCCGCGTGCAGGCTCACCATGTCCGGCATGCCGCCCGGCGCGGACGTGACGAGCGCGATCGCCGCGACGAGCGCACCACCGGCCGCCTGCTGCGCCTGCTCTGCCAAGAGATGCGCGTTCTCCGCCGCGAGCAGCGTCGACATAGGGCGGATGTCTGGTGCTGGCGCCGCCACCCTGGCAGCCTCAGCCGCCGCCCGGGCAGCCTCAGCCGCCGCCGCCGCAGACTCTGCGGCGGCCAGGCGCCCTCGCTCGGCGGCCTCAGCCTCCGCCAGCGCAGCCTTCCTCGCCGCCGCCGCCGCCTCCCTCACCGCCTCGGCCACCGCCGCAGCCTCCGTCAAGGCCTTCTTCGCTGCCGCCCTCGCCGCCGCCTCCACTGCGGCTTGCTTCTCCTCCGCGAGCCGTGCCGCCTCCGCCGCCTGCTCCGCCGCCGCCGCCTTCTCCGCCTCCGCCGCCCTCTCCCCCTCCGCCGCCTTCTCCGCCTCCAGCAAAGCTTCGTCAATTTTGGAGGGTTTGGCCCTCTCCCCCTCCGCCCTCTCCCCCTCCGCCGCCCCCTCCGCTGCAGCCCCCTCCGCCCCCTCGGCCGCCACCCTGGCGGCCTCCTCTGCCGCCGCTGTCGGCTCCGCCTGTGCCGCCGCGTCGGCCTCGGCCCGGGCAGACCCCTCCAAGCGCAGCCGCTCCGCCTCGTCGCAGGTAGACTCGGCAACAGCCGCATCGGCGACAGCAGCCGCCGCCGCAGCCGCCGCAGCCTCGAGGCGGGCCTTCTCGGCAGCCGCCGCCTCCTCCGCCGCCACCCTCACCGCCTCAGCCGCCGCCGCCTCGGCCGCCGCCGCCTCGGCCGCCGCCGCCTCGGCCGCCGCCGCCTCGGCCGCCGCCGCCTCGGCCGCCGCCGCCTCGGCCGCCGCCGCCTGCGCCTCTGCGGCCGCCGCCTCGGCCTCTTCTTCTGCCTTTGCAGATTCCTCTGTCTCCTCCGCTTTGGCCGCATCGCTCCCCTCATCCGCCGTAGCAACCTTTGGCTCGTCGGGGGGGGGCGGCTTCGCCCCCGACGATGCGCCAAGGAAATCGTGGTGCACCCAACCGCTCATCTCGACCTCCAGTCGCGCGTCAAGATCCGCGTCGCGCTCCCCACGAAAAGAATTTTACAAGAAAACTTCCTCGCGAAAAGAAACGTGGGAACGCGCCATTGTCGTGCCAGTGTCTTCCATCCCTCCCTTGGGTGTCGGTTTTCTTTCTTTCTTTTCGTGCCAGTGTGCTGTGAAAAAGAAAGGAAACACGCAACCCAAGGGAGGGATGGGAGGACGGCACGCCGCCACCACACAGGGATTTTAAGGAGAGGTGTGTGATGCGCTAGCCGTCGCCCACCCTAGGGAGTCTGCCTCTTCCTATCTCTCTTCGCAGTCTCTCGCCGCTTCTCGCTGCAACCTTCATGCCACCTCGCGGTCGTCCCACTCTCGTCGTTCTCTCCCTTGTCAGAGGCTTGTATTTTAAATTCTTTGCCAGTCCGCGCCCTTGTCGTGCCAGTGTGCTGTGAGAGAGGCTTGTATCTTAAGAATTCTTTGTCAGGAGCAGGAGAGCCCCGCTCTACGGGGAGAGCGACGAAGAGCTCTAGGAGCGGCCGCCGAGCCCTTCCCGCAGCGCAACCCTAGCAGCGCAGCGGGCAGGGCGGCTCGCGCAGCGCGCGCGATCGCGCAAGCGGCGCGCGCGAGCGAGCGAGCGAGCACACACACACACACACACACACACACACACACACACACACACACACACACACACACACACACACACACACACACACACACACACACACACACACACACACACACACACACACACGCACACGCACGCACACACGCACGCACGCACCTCCCCAGAAATCCCGAGGAGCCGTGCAGTGCCCAGATAAGTCTGTGAGTGTGCTGTGTGGTGCACGCCCTGCGAGCAGGGCGGGGTGCGCACTGTCCCTCTGTGTTCGTGTGCGTCGCCCATCTCTCCCTGGAGATGACTGCTCTATTTATAGCAGGAGAGCCCCACCTGTTGCCCCTGATCGTCCTTCCAAAATCCTGCTCGTGCAAGTGTGGACCCTGTCCTCCTCCCCCATCCCTCGTTTGGGTTTGTCTGTGTTCTTTCTTTCTTTCTGAACTCCTTGAGAGAGAGAAGAGAAAAAACTCCTTTTGTTTGCAGCAAAGCTTGCCTGAGCCCTGGCCTCGACACCTCGACACCAAACCTCGACACCGACTCGACCCTCGACAACCCATGCCAACTCGACAAACTCGACACCCCTCGACACCCCTCGACACCATCTAGGCTGAAACCATGCTCGTCCGTGTCAAGGTGCCAAACTCGACACCTCGACACCCCTCGACACCCCTCGACACCGCTCGACACCGCTCGACACCGCTCGACAGCACCTCTGATGATCCTAACACAGCAGAGACGTAGACCCATTGGAGTCACAGAGTTAGAAATCAGGGTTGCAGCAGCAATCAAACTTGGCTGGCAGTACTTTCATCCCTGAGTTGCAGCCTCTCAAGTTCTAGCTCAAGTTGCAGCTCCGCAGTTGCACCCCTGTTGATGCAGCAAACATGGCAGTACTCAGGTAGCCCTAAGGTGCTGCACAGCACGTTGTACAGTGGCAATGAATCCTCACACCAGTGAGCTTGTGCCATGAGTGCAGACCTGTCTGTGGTCCATTGCGCTTTGTGCACTGGCGATGCTGACAACGGCGACGCTGCAGCGGCGGCGACGCTGCTGCGATGGGGTACTGGCAGCCCTTAGCTGCTGGACAGCACCTTGTGCAGTGGCAATGTCCACTGACTCATGGCACCAGCCTTGTGCCATGAGCGCTGTGGTCAGTTGCGCTTTGTGCGCCGGTGACGCTGCAGGGGCGACGCTGCTGCAGCGGCGACGCTGCTGCGGTGCTGCGCCTGCACAGGCCACAGCACCTTGGTGCACAGTGGCAATGACTCCCGGCACTTGATGTCCTCAAATGTCCACAGAGAGTATACTGGTTGTGCTCAGGTTGTGCTACATCAACAGGGTGCAACTGAGGCTGCAACTCTATCCAGTGCTCAAGTGCTCAAGGCTGCAACTAAGGGATGAAACAGCTTTGCAACTGCTGCCCAACTTTTGTTGTATGTTGATGGGCTGCAACTGCATCCACCTGCCACCTTGGACACCTCGATACCTCAGACGCCTCTTGACAACACTCGACACCCGCTCGACACCCGCTCGACACCCTCGACACCCTCGACACCCTCGACACCCTCGACACCCCTCGACACCCCTCGACACCCCTCGACACGCCTTCCGATTCCTCCCCGCCGCCCGGCCTGATCCGCGGCGTGCAACGCCCCCCACGCACAAACATGGGCACACACCTTGAGCACTTGAGCACCGGATAGGGTCGATTCCGCATGGTACGGGACCCCTCGATCGTCTCGCCCTCCCTCACTGGTGTGTTCATTGGGGGGGGTCATAACAAACACGGTACAGGATCGAGGTGCACGCTGCCGAAGCAGTGTCGTCCCCCCTCTCCCCGACGGCGATGGCGGTGTGACCGATCGAGCTGTGCCTCGGCATCGCCGACCCTGATGCCGCCGCCGCCGTCCCTGTCGCCCCCGCTTCCACCCACTTGCTTTACTGCCGACTCCAAGCGGGAGGCAGCAAAAGCACGCAGACAGAATTGAGAACGTCGCCATCGTGTAACACAGGCAGGCCTGGCTAGCTAGCCGCGTGTTGGGGAGTAGTGTTTGTGTGTGATTAGGAGTGTGGTGCTAGCCGTCGCCCACCCTTGGGTGCCTGCCTACTATTCGCATCTCGATTCTCGGAAACTTCGCTCGAAAATGAAAACCCTATCTTCTCTGTGCTGCAGGCGCTTATCGAGCATCCCCACCCGACCGTCGCCGCAAGCAAGCCGCCGCATTCGGGCTCAGCCCGAAGCAGTCGACGTGAGCCTGAAGCTCGAACTGAAGCTCGAAGCGTCGACCTGAAGCTCGAGGTGAGCCCGAAACGTCGACGCGAGCCTGAAGCGTCGTCGTGAGCCCGCAGTCGGCGATGACTCTCGATCATTCAGCACGCATCACCGCGGAAGCTGGCGACGGTTCACTCAACAGAGCCGCCACGTTGCTCGTCTCGATTGCCGTCGCAATCGTCGCCTGCTCCGACATGAGCACGAGCACCTTGCTGCCGCCAAACGCCGGCATCTGGCTGGAAGTGGCGTGCGCGTTTGGGCTTGGCTCAATATCCAACGTGGTCCTTTCCATGATCGTGTGGCGGGAGTGGCCGCGCTCAGCTGTGGGTGCGGCGTGCGTGGCGTCGCTCTGCGCCCCATACCTCCTCCCGTTCCGCTACGGCATCGCCGCCTCCGCCGTTGCACTGCTCAACTTCATCGGCGTGTGGAAAGCGAGCGACGTGCTGGCCGGCACGGCGCCGGCCGCCCTCTCCCGCTCGGGACGCGTCGCCTTTGCGGTCCACTTTGCGAGCCCCGTCGAGTACGTCGTCGAGCAGTCGGTGGCGTCAGCCAGCTCTGGCCTCTGGCGCACGGAGCTCTCGAGTCTGCTTCAAGTGTACGCCGCGCTCGCTCTCACCGCGAGCGCCCACGCCGCGCTCTCGCCGCCGCCGGCCGACCCAGCGCCGGCCGCACTGCGCGAGGCCGTCCGCCTGTACTGCGAGGTGTGGACCATCTACCTCTTCCTGCGCCTGTTCACCGGCGCCTCTGCCACATGCTCGTGCCAACCTGGCTCGAGCCCCCAGCCCGCACCCGAACCCTCTCCCAACCCTAGGCGCCTTTGGCACGATGCTCGCGTGCGGCGGCTTCGTGCCGCGCACGATGTGGCGCGCCCCGCTCCTCGCGAGCACCTCCGCCGCCGACTTTTGGGGCCGCCGTTGGAATCTCCTCATCCATGGCCTCTTCCGGCGCACCGTCTTTCGGCCGCTCACGGAGCGAGGGGTGCCGGGGTGGGGCGCGGGCGCGATCGCCTTTGCCCTCTCCGGCGCCTTCCACGAGTACGCCTTCGCCCTGCAGCAGCCGGCGCAGCGCGCGAGCTTCGGCCGCTGCCTCGCCTTCTTCCTCGCCCAGGCTCCCGCCGTCAGCGCCGAGAAGCGCCTCCGGCGGCTGCTCGGCGTGCCGCCGCCCTTCGACCGATCGTCGGCCGCGTGCACGCTCGCGTGGACTCTCCTGTTGATGCCATTCGCGCCGCTCTTCCTCCACCCGCTCAAGACGTCAGGGACGTTTGCGACCATTCTGGAGCTGGTGCCGCGGCTGGCGGTGGCGGTGCCTTAGGTGCGCGTCGGAGATACGTTGAGGGGTTGTACGTCAAGATAGCACCCCGTTGGTCGGTTGCGTGGTCGGTGAAATCGCATCGGTCTCGGACCACGGACGAAGATGGCGCCCCGCGGAGGGGAGAGATCGAGGTGATTGCTGATTCGACGGACGACGCGCGGGCCGACAGACGAGGTGGGCACGCGCTCCACGCAGCCCCGTTTCGAAAAATAGAGAGCGAGTCGTATTCACACAAGGACGATATACACATAAAGAGCCGAGACCGATCTGTGGTTGCGCACAGGCTCCCTGAGGTTGCACGGGCACGCTCACGCTCTACGAGATGCGATCTCTTGTGGGTTAAAGGTCATTCCTCTTTGGCCTTGCGGAGCAGTCCCTCGAACGTCTCCGCCGCCGCCGCCGCCGCCTCGCGCACCCTGGCTCCAAACCGCTCCATCAAGAAGCGGTCCGGGTCGGTCTCCTGCTTCTCGAGGAGGATGGCGATGCCGCTCTCCACCGCGGCCCGTGTGCGGTCGCGCACCTCGATCGCGAATGCGTCATTCTGCCAGTCGCCGCCGAACTGCGCGGTCGGGATTGGCTCTCCGAACCAAAAGTAGATCTTCTGGATGCGAGCGGGGCTGGGCGGCGCGGCGAGAGGAAGGCTCAGCTCCTTCCGGACGAAGCCGACCGGCAGGTCCGCGACGATGGAGAGCATGTCCTCGGTGCCGACGGCGGCGCACGGGACGAGAGGGTAGCCGTGTTTGATCGCCATCCGAGCGAAGCCGAGCCGCTGCTTCCAGAGCAGGGAGTACTTTGGCGTGGCAGAGTGCTTTAGCACCTCGTGGGCGCCGCCCGGGTAGACGAGCACGTTTTGCCGCGCGCCCATGAGCACATCCACATTCTCGCGCGTCCCGTCCACAGCGCCGAGGGCGCGCAGCACTTCGCCATGCGGGAGCGAGAAGTGCATGTGGTCGGCGAGGCCACGCAGGAAGACGCCCTTGCGCGAGTAGAGCGCGTGGATGAAGGAGGGCATCTCGACGCCGAGGAGGGAGTGATTCATGACGTACAGCGACGGCGTCTCGGTGACGTGCTCCAACCCAGTTATGTCGGGCCGAATGAGCGCCTCGATCGGAGCCATCAGCGCGGCGAGGGCGCGAGCGGGCGGCGGCTGGAACGCGGCGATGTCGGCGCGCTGGGCCTCGTGCTCAATCAGAAGCACCTTCTCCTCTCCGAGCGAGACGCCCACCTCGGAAAGCCTCCGAAGGAAGACGGCGCAGAGCCAGGTGTAGGAGGCGACCGCGGCACGGACTGCGCTTCCGGAGCCGTTGTGGGCGAGGTGACAAAGGTACAGCGCGAGCGCCGCGAGGGCGACGAGTAAGGTGCGAAGCGGCAGGCATTGCAGCGCTCGCGCCGCCTTGAGGTGGTGGTGCACGCCGGGCTTCTTGAGCATGTGGTCGGCAGGAATGACAAAGGTGAGGCCGACGAAGAGGTGAAAGAGCGAGAGGCCGCCCAACAGCAGGTCGACAGCTGGCGTGAGGGAGGCCATTGCGGCGAAGGTCTATCGGCTCGGTTACACACATTGTACCCCTCTCGAAAAGAATTCCGGTTTTCGGGTCCGAGGGCAGCCTCAACTGGAGTAGGGAAATTTGGATTTTGGTCAAACGCCTGCTGGGCACACACACACGGAGGTGACAGGGGGGATGGTGGTGGGTTCAAGCAAAGAAGGGGAGGGAGAGAGCGACGCGGCGAGCGCAGGCGGCGAGCGTGCACGTCGCCTGTGCGGCGTCTTGTTCACTCCCCTTTGAGCTACCTTGGTGCCCCCTTAGGGGCACCCCTCCTGCGCTGCGCGTATGGTCACCCCTCCCTTCCGCCCTGTTGTTTTGGATGCCCCGCTCCGAGAAAGCATGTCTCGCAGCTGCGAGAAAAGACACCGCGTACCCTTCGTTTTCCGGTATTGCAATAGGAGCAACACGTAGAAAACGGAAAACGACGTGCTCCAAGTGCTCCGAAAGGCGCCAACCGCGCGAGCGTGCGGGCTTTGTCGCGGCTGGCAGGCATGGGGCGTCACAACCGACTGCCCCGTGGGCCTCGGAGGGGCTGCTGCTTTGTCGCGTGGCTCGGCATATGCTTCGCAACATAGGCGCGAAGGGGCGCGGGGGCGGCGGGAGAGCTCAAGCCCCCGCGACCGACCCGCTGGCTCAGCTGGCGAGGGGCGCCTTGCACATCGGGCAGAGGCACTGTCGCTCCGCGTCCAGCAGCCAGCGGTCGACGCACTCGAGGTGGAAGCGGTGGCCGCATCGCAGCACACGCAGCGTATCTCCGCTCTCAAAGTCCTCGACGCAGATGGCGCACGCGTGGGCGGCCTCGCCGCCGCGCGCGAGCAGCACCGCCTCCACCAGCTCCTCCTTGTCCAGCGGAGGTTGCGCGTCGAGGCCGACCCGGCTGCGGGGCGCGCGAGCGCGGGCGAGCCGCAGCTCCGCCACGAGCTGCTTGATGGGCCACGCCCGCAGCTCTTCGGCGGTGCTGTACTCCTCGAGGGGGAGGCGCCACACGGCCGCGCGCACCTCGTCCGGCGCGAGGGACGTGCCTCCGCCGAGCGCGGCTGGGTCGAGCGCCGCCCACCACGATGAGAACGGCGGCGGCGGCGCGGCGGGAAGCGGCTCGGCGGTGCGAGGCCGGCGCGCCGGCTGCGATCGCGTGCGCACTCGCTGCCGCTCGCTCTCCTGTGCCGGACGCGAAAGAGGCGGTGAGACGAGGGCGGCACCGACGGCCTGCGCATATGCGGGCTGCGCCTCATTTTGGCTGCGCCGCCTCCGGCCTCCGTGGAAACACCAACCCACCGCCCGGTCGATGGCGGCGAACCAGCCTTCGCCTCGGTTGCCCTCCCCTCGGTTGCTACTGCTGCTGCTGCCGCTGCTGCGGTCCGGCATCTGCAGCTCGGCACAGCAGGGCGAGCGCGAGCCAGTCCAGAGAGTTCCCTTGGGGGGCGCTCGCGGATTCTCCCTCTTTAGAATTCTTTTTGAATTTTACTCAAAAGTGCCCGCTGTCTGCCGCCTCATTTCGACCACGGCATCATGGCGCCGAAGAAGGCCACGAAGGGGGCCGTGAAAGTTCCCGCCGTCCCCAAGCCGTCAAAGACATTCGTCGCCGGGCAGCGCGAGAAGCACGCCGGCGGTCATGTCGACGTCGGGGCTGAGGCGTTGGCACTTGCGGCCAATCTCGTGCATGGCTCGGCTAGCGCCGCCGCCCACCGAGATGAGGCCCGTCGCCGCGTCGTGCCCCGCTTGGTCCAGGCGGAGGAGGTTGAAAAGGTGCGCGCGGAGCTCGTCAAGGTTCCCGAGAATGACCTCGAGATGCAGCCGGTGGTCACCGCCGCCGCGGCTCCGCTGGCCGACGGCCTCGTTCCGGTGGTCAAGGAGGCCTTCGGACCCGGCGCCAAGGTCAAGCAGATGCGGTTCAAGTCGGGCGTGCGCACCGAGGTGGAGGAGGCCAAGATCAAGGCCGCGGTAGAGAAGGCCGAGGCGGAGTCGCCGCCCGTCCTGGCGGACCTCATCCAGAAGCTCATCGAGCTGATCACGCAAGGCGGCACCTTCGATTACACGTTCAAGGGGGACCTGCCTATCCCGGTCCCCGGGAACGAGCAGATCGACAGCATCGTCGTGGAGGCGGGCACGTCCATCGCAATCGCTGTTGAGTCGACGCCCATCACGCAGAAGGTCCCGATCCTCGGGACCATCACAGTGGGGTACCAGTTCGTCATCACCTGCCCTCTCGTGGCGAACCTGTCCCTCGACTTTGCCGATGGCGCGGAGATCCAGGTGCCATTCAGCTCCCTCGGCTGCTGCGCGGATTGGTGCGCCTCCTGCAAGGAGAAGCCGCCTTCGGCTTGCTGCGAGTCGGGCGGCTGCTGCGTCAAGGGCGGCAAGTGCGCGTGCTGGACCGACCCGTACCTTGTCCTGAGGCCGCGCACGCTCGAGCTCGACGCTCCGCTCACGCTGTCGCTCAACGACTCCATCATGATCTCCGACATCACCTCCATCATCTCCGACCCTTCCAAGCTCCTCAAGACGCTCGTGGTTGCGGTGACGGAGAGGCCCTACATCAAGGCCGCCGCCGCGCTGCGCTGCTGCCGCGACTGGATCTGCTTCCCGTTCATGCAGCTCTTTTCGCTCTGCGCCAACACGTGCCTCCTCCCGTGCGTGGCCCGCGGCCTCTCGAAGCGCCTCGTGGGCAAGACATTCGGGCCGGGAGCGGACAGGGATGCGAAGAAGCGCGCGCCCGGAAGCGAAGTCGCTCGGTGGACGACCGATTTCTCCGACGACTGATCAGTTTGCAGTGCCCACTCTCTAGGAGGACCACACAGCCAGGATACACTCTCGAGGGCTGGGTAGTAAGCAGTAGAGGTCGATACAAAACGACGTCAGATCTGGCGCTCACCCAGGGCGGCTGGACCTAGTCACATTTTCACATGCGTGAGGGCTGCGGGACGGGGCATATCACGGTCGGTGGCGCCGATGACGACCAAGAGTTCATACACGATCAGTATAAGTCGATGCTGAACCGCGATTTTGAGGCCGCGTTCGCGTACCCAGAGTGGATTCGCCTGACGCCGGCGGCTGCACCGCTGCCAGTGCATATGCCGCTGAGTCTCTTCTGGGACCCGCCGCACACGCTCAAGAACTGGCTGACCTCGTGCCGCATCGCTTATCGGAACTCGCAGCGTGCGAATGCGCCTCCACCGGCCCCTGTTGCCGCAGTCTCCGAACCGCTGCGCTCCGACAAGCTGCCGCCCTTGGCCGGCGCAGCCGACGCAGAGGCGCAGCTGCTTGCGGAGGAGCCACCAGAGGGCGAGGGGGAGGAGGCAGGGGCGGGGGCTGGGGCTGCGGCGCCGAGCGCAGACAGCCTGATTGTGCGGGTCGGCCGAGCCGTCTCGCGCGTCATCGACCGGCAGGAGGAGAGGGTCCAGGCGGCCAAGAGGGACCTGCGGGAGGTGCCGCCGAGGCTGCTGCATCCGAACTCAATGAACGTGGGGTTCCATCCGCAGTCGGTGCCCATCGCGGCCCGCGCCTTCTCGCTCGCCGTGGCGAGCGACGCACGCGCACACGGCGACACAGAGGCTGCTGAAGTGATTGAGCGGCTTTCAAGCTGGTACCTGGGCTGCACCGCGCGAGGCTACGCGCCCGCAGTCAGGTGGGAGACGGCTGACCAGGCGCCCGCCTGCGGTGCGGCGGTTGTGAGCTTCACCCCATAGAGCTCACTCATTGTCCTGCCCGCGCCCGTAGATGGACCGTCTGATTCTGGACAAGCTGGACCCAGACCTGCAGTGGGGGCCGGTCCACTCGGCGGGCCGAAAGGTCAAGGCCATGCACGGCCGGGGAGGCTTCAGCCGTGTGTCCGCGCAGGCCGTGCTGATGCACAACGCGGCGAGGACCGTCGTCGAGGCGCAGCTCGGGCCGGACGCGCAGCTGCTGGTCAAGGATCGCATTCAGGGCACGGATCTGTGAGCCGGTAGATGCTCACTTTTAGGGAGCCAACTACGAACGATTCTCGAGAAGTAGAGCCGGTTGCAGCACCTTGCGAAAAAACAAAAAGCCAAAACTCCGGTCTCGTATCGTATAGGATCGCTCGTCTCGTATCGTCTCGTATCGGATCGTCTCGTCTCGGTCGGATCGTCTCGGTCGCGCCTCGGTGCGCCTTCCTCGCGAGAGACGTGAGACGCCAGACACTCGGACAAAATCCCGCCGAGCCATCTGACCACGCCGTTCCTCCCCCTCTCTCCGGCGAGGGAGGACGGGCCGAGCCATCTGACACACGCCGCACGCCACTGCAGCCTCGCATTGCACTTCGGTGTGCGCATAGACTGGGACGTAATCCTACCACCCGCGCTCGCCTCACCCTCCTCGGCGCTCACTCGGCTCCCAAATTTCCACCGCGACTGCACCGCTCTGCTCACACGTCGCGTCTGGCTCCTACCGAGTGGCTGCTCACACGTCCGAGTGTCTAGCATATTCGGCGGCGGATCGACGGAATCGCGATCGCCGACCCCCCGTCCTCCGCATCCGGACGCTCTCGTTCTCCCCCTCGCTTTCTCTTTCTCTCCTTCTCTCTCCCCCGCCGCCCCCTCCCTGGCCCCTCCCTCCCTCCCTTCCCTCCCTCCCCCCCGCCCGCCCGCCCATCCGCCCGCCCGCTGGCCCGCCCACACACCCCCTCACCAGTGGTCGCCCTCGGCGCAGGCGACGCGCAGGTTCGGGGCGGGCGACCGTCGCTCGCCGCTCACACAAAGCCTAGCGGAGCCGCGAGTGTCTGGGCGCTCCAAAACCGCCGCCGAGAGCGGTCTATTCGAGACGCCGGTGTCTCTCTGACCCATACCTGTCCATGTACCCGGCGTTGCAGTGAGGTGAAGAGGACCCGCGACTCTAAGCTGTTATCCGCCTTTCTTATTCGCGGAATCGCGCGCGCCGGCCGCACACCACACGCGCGTGTTTTGATGTCAGTGCCTCCTCGACCCGCACGAGTCTGTGTGATGTTGACGACCTGTGTGTGTCTGACCTCTTTCTTGTATCACGAAAGTACTCGCGGCTGGAACAAGCGCGCACGCCGACCATGACGCGCCATCGCGGTATGGCCATGCTGCATGCATCTCGATAGACCAGACAGGACGGGCACGCACCCATCTCTCCGTCTGTTCTCAATAGCCTGGCTAAAGAGCGCCCCCCCCCCCCGCCCCTCTCCCCTCCCCCCTCACCGGACCGCGCCAAGCGCGCGCATCGCGCCCTGCAGCTCCGACACCTGGTCGAGCGCGTCGCCGAGCAGCCCCTTTGCCACGCCGAGGTCGCTCAGCTGCTCCACGCCGCCGCTCGCCCGCACCTCGGCGGCGTGGTCCGCCACGTAGCGGCGGCACTGCGCGAGGAGACGCCCGTCGCCCGTCATGTGCGCCGCCTCGAGCAGCGGCACGGCGGTCGCCGGCCCGACGCTCTCCTGCAGCGCCTGCGCGCAGAGCAGCTCGAGGCGCGGCACTTGGTACATCTGCGCCAGCTCCCGCAGTTCGAGCGCGCGCCGCGCCTGCTCGCCCTCCCCGAGGTTGAGCTCGTCGGCGCAGAGGTACTCGATGAAGGCGGTGAAGCTGGCGAGGTTGGTGTCGGACACCGTGACCTCGGCGGCGTCGCGCTCCTTCATGCCGATGCCGAACATGGTCCGAAAGACAACGGACCGGGCGCAGAGGACGCACTTGCTCACGTGCTCGACGCGCTCCTCGTCGTCGCCGACCAGGAAGGTGACCATGCCCTGCGGGAGGGAGGCGTCGCCCCACGTCTTCTTCATGTCGGCCGAAAAGGTCGAGGGCGGCACCACGAGCGGCGCGAAGGAGGGAGGCGGAGGAGGCGCAGCCACGTGGACGAAGCGGATGCGGGAGGGGTCTGCGACGCAACACACCGCCAACGTGCTGCCCTGCGGGGAGAGTGCAATCGCACGCGGCGCCTCCAGCTGCGCGCACCCCCCCACACCGTCGGCGCTGCCCTTCTCGCCGCTCCCCGCCACTGTGGTAACGACTGCGGAGGACACATCCACAAGCCTGATCTTGTGATTGCCGTGATCCGCGACGAAGAGAGCGGCGCCATCGGGGCTGAGGGCGAGACCCTGTGGCCTGCTGAACGTCGCCGACGGCCCTGGGCCATCTGCGCTTCCCTTTGCCCCACTGCCGGCCAACGTCGTCACGACGCCCGATGCCACGTTCACCCGCCGGATGACGTGCCCGGTGCAGTCGGCCACGAAGAGGGTGTC